TAGGAATGTCATTTACTGCATTATTTGTTAACTTTATTTTTTTTGTGTTGTTGTTTACTTTATTATTATTTCCTTAATGCTGAATTGTAATTTGATGTATTTGATAAACTACAGCTTTGTTTGATACCCTTGTGAATAGGAAGTCATTCTGCCCTCCACACTGTCCTGATAGTGGCCCCTTCTCCTGAATACTGGTTACACATTAGGACTATCAAAGGTTGTGGCAAACTCATTTCTTTTAGCGTGATTATTTGTTTTCTATAATTGATACAATCAAAGACTTCAATGGCTTCATGTTATAGGAAAGGAGATTCCACCTGAACATTAGGAAGAACTTCCTACCTGTGAGAGCTGTTCAGCAGTGGAACTCTCTGCCCCAGAGTGTGGTGGAGGCTCCTTCTTTGGAGGCTTTTAAACAGAGGCTGGATGGCCATCTGATGGGGGTGTTTTGAATGTGATTTTCCTCCTTCATGGCAGGGTGTTGGACTGGATGGACCCCAAGGTTTCTCCCAGCTCTATGATTCTATGACATACTGATATTCCAGACAAACATGGCTGTGTCTATGAATTGTATGCATTTCATACCTTCATAAGGAGAAAAGCTGTACAGAGTTAATACTTATATCTGAATACCTAATGCATATGAATATATTGTTATCACTGCTGGAAGACATGTCACCTGTGTTGTGATCATTACTCACAATGAATCATAGAATCATAGAATCAAAGAGTTGGAAGAGACCTCATGGGCCATCCAGTCCAACCCCCTGCCAAGAAGCAGGAATATTGCATTCAAATCACCCCTGACAGATGGCCATCCATTAAACGAAGTATTTAATGAATATCCTAACATCAATGAGCTTTCATTGCAAAATTGCAATATTTATTTCCTAGCAGGTTTTTGTAACTCTGGCGAAATTTATAATAGCAGACTTTCTGTGGTGATTCCAAACTTCCATATCTATTCTGTAACATTCTGTAAGGAATGTTTTGACTCTGTGACATGTGTATTTACACAGTGTAGTCTGCCCTAGCAGCATGCAAAACTATGAAATGCAAGTTTTATAAAGTTTTCCTACAATAGACAAAGGAAGGATATACTAGTGAAGAGAAGCATGTATTTTCACAGCAGCTTCTATTTTTGCATTCTAGACTTGGTTCACCCTTCGATGCAGTGTAAAATTACCTCAACTCTGCCAGCCAGAAGGGATATACAGATGCTTTATTAGCAGGGAACCTCAGAAACTAGAAAGAAGCCCAGATCAATACTCAGTCTCACACTAAATCTTCCTTCAGCTATATCCCTGAACACTGGCAACAGACATTTTCCAGCATTAAATGCATTCAAAAATGATTCATTTGTAGTATATTTACATTTCTGAACTTACAATGACAAGACATTTTTCCAAATATACCAACTATTTTTGATTAAGAGGCATTTGGTGAATTTCAAAGAAAGGAAGTAAAGTGCTGGTGGTTATTGTGGCATATTACTTACAAATGGAACAAGAGCTTACAGTAAGCAGTGTTTTTCAAGATGCATTTACATCTCTCTGCCTCTTCCATATGTTCTCTGTGGTACGAACAGATTAGGCTACAAAGCATGGTAAGACAGACTTTGAAATTAGATTTCTACTCATTCAGAGAACCACAAACCCTTTGAAGAATACTCTAAAATACATTTCACATATTGCTGACAGAAATTACTGTAAACCTGCTGAACCCCAGTAAGTAGCAAAATGAATTCCATAGCACACATAAGAAAGCCCTTTGCTCTTTCTATTCTTTGCATGGAACAAACTATGAAGACTTGGCAAATGAATGGAAGTAATTATACCATCGTACTTTCTCAAATTTAAGATCTTTAGATAAGTAATATTTGAAAAAATGATGTAAAGAACCCATCAAGACAAAAATCAAGAACTGCTTAAGTGTCCTTACACAAAATTTCATACAAAATGTATTGGGAAGAGATGGGAGAAACAGAAAAATTAGAACACAGATTATAGAAGTGAAGCAATCCTAGCATATAATTAGATACCACAAAGAACAGGTAAAAGGAAATTAAACTCAAATATGATCCACACCACAGTCTTTCCTCATTGATAGCCAAGGAAGATTTAAATTGCTTATGTAGCTGGTTACCTATGGCATTTATTTGGTTGAAGCATTTACCACATTTAGCTTCATAAGAATAGGACTGGATACTATTCAATCAATCAATCAATTAGATACTATTATCAAGGTACACATAAGCATACAATCCAGCAAATAATAAACAATGTTAAGAATTTGCAGAGGAAGTTAAGCAATGATTTCTGTGCAGGTGTATTGTGTACTATGTATTGGTTTGCAATTATCCTGACATCTTAGCTAAAGAATCCATTTTGTTCAAGAAATTACAGCTTTAAAGCTGCAAAGAAAAAGGCTAAGGCTCTGGAATGAAAAAGAAATGTGCATGTCTCCATTCAGATTAAATTAAAAAGAATTATTCCTGCAATTCAAGAAAACATGCAATCCCATTGATTTCCTTATCAGGCAGTTGATAGCACTCATCTTGGAAGTGGGCAGTCATAAGCCTTGGGTATAAAAACGTGGCATTTATTTTGGATTTTGTGCTAAAATACTCAAAATTTATATTTCAATGTAGCATCATTTAAGACTCAAAGGGTTTCCTTGGATTTTTCCACTCCACCATTCGCAAAAAACAAACAAACAAACAAAAACAATAATTCTATTCTTTTGCTCACAGTTTGTAAATGTTATTTTTTTCACTACCAGAATCTCCCTTTAGTCCAAAAACATAATGTTTCCAAACTCTGGTTTTGGCCTCTTGATTTCAAATGTGTTAGCTCCTTAAAGCTTAGTCAGTTCTTGTTCCTTTCTTTTTTGGTTTGGTACCTGATATATATTAATGTTTCAGCACTGTAAACAGACTGATTAATGTTGATCCTTCTACAAGCATTTTCTGTTCTATGGAGAAGCCTACCATGAGCTGGGCCAGAAATTCCTCTTGTACTGCCCTACTAAACTGCCTTATTGCAGTGTAGCTCTTGCTTTTTTTTGCAAGTTTTTCGGGTTGTATGGCCATATTCCAGAAGCATTCTCCCCTGACATTTCGCTTGCATCTATGGCAGGTATCCTCAGAGGTTGTGAGGGCAAAATGTCAGGAGAGAATGCTTCTGAAACATGGTCATAAAGCCTGAAAAACTTACAAAAACCCAGTGATTTCAGCCATGAAAGCCTTTGACTTTACCATATAGCTCTTGTAAAATGCTAATCCCAGAACAAATTACACTTGAAAAAGCTACTCGTTCTATAGCATATCCTTCTTGAGCTCTTGTGTCCAAAACAATTTTATCAAAAAATTTATTGAGAACTGTATAATAAAAAGTCTCATGCTAAATGTAAATATTACTTTTGATGCAAAATTTTGGAATTCAACTGGCAAAATTCTCCATCTTAATCTGCATGAACAAATAGTATGTGTTGACTGCAGCATTCCTAATAAGACCCTACTCATTATCACCTCAAAGGCAATCAAAAGCCTAAGTATGATTAGATCTATCCACAATTTTGTTGTCCTCTGGTACTCAAAAATTTCTAAACAGCCAGGGATCTGTGTCCTATTTCCGAATCTGGGACTAAGGATTCCTTGCTGTTGGCCCAATAACATCTACAGGAAAGACACTTTCCATTAATCCTTTAAGAATTTCAGCAGCAAAATGACTCTTCTTCAGCCCTAATTGTTACTGCTATAATGAGTAACTTAGAATTGAATTTGTGTGAAACAATTATGAAGTGAAATCAGTTCTGGTTCACATAAAAATCACTAGCCTTAGAAATCTTTGATTCTAATTATAGCTCTCTTGTCCTTGACTCTAATCATCTCAGGTTTTAAGTAAAAACAACCAATGAAATCCTGCAAGGCCAGGATCTCTAATATATTCTACCATTATCCAGCAGAGATGACCATATTGCCTTTTAGTAGCTAATCCTGTCAACAAGAAGTTGTGATATAGTATCATAGCCCCTGCTTTTGACAATGTCAGTGACATTTGACCTTTCTTCCTATTATGTGGTCAGCTGTGCTGACCAAGAGGGGGGTAGGCTATTCTTACAGATACTGACTATAGTCTTAAACCATACAACTGCACAAATTTTGAAAGTTTAACAGTTATTAATAGTTATTCAAAAATATAAAATACATGCAGATTTTCCTATTGCTTACATTTTCAAGAGTCAACCATTTTTAAATAGAGGAAAAGGAAACACTATGCTAAGAGTGCTACCAGTTCATCTTTCAACAAAATGTATGAAACACACTTGATTCTCTTTGTCTGTAATTTTTCTTTTCTGGTATCCATACTGGAGACTGAAAGACATCCTAGATTTTGTTTAATCAACCGCTACTCCACAGTATAAAATGATATAGCAAAAAAATAATTGCATGGTAGCACCATGTCCAATAAAAAGGAGATATTACTCAAGAGTTTTTAAATGTGAGAGAATATCTATAGCTGAAATGGATTTATTGCATGATGTTGCTCTGTTGCATAAATGCTTTAACTGAATCTTACCTTTTTTCAATTGCCATCAAAATTTAAGTTCTTGGTAAGAGTTTCATTCTATATATGCTTACCAGAATGTTTAATATTTTAATTTATATAGGCTTCTAGTCCATAGATATAAACATAATTTTACTAAAGTAAAAAATGCACAGAAATCTATATCATGCTCGATCATGTCATAGAATGCAAAAAGAACCTTCCACAAATATACATATAACATTATTTTTAATTGTTTTTAATCATTTAAATGCGGAGACCCTAACTATACTTCAATTTCATCACATACCACCATATGCACATGTAGGGACAAATCAACCAGGAAACTGTAAAAACAATATAATTTAACACCTCTCTTCAAACCTGACGTTTTCTGTGAAACCACTGGCTAAACATCTCAGAGTTTATCCAAAGTAGATGTAAAATGTTTACCTGCAGAGACATCATCATCAGGCAAATCATGTTCTTCTTCTTGAACTTTGGTTTCGACTCCCAATTGTTCAGGAGGAGCAGTCGTAGTCTGTATGGTTTCTTGGGTCACTCCCGCTGGAAGTCAAGTAAAAGAAAAAATGTATTATTTTCATAAATAAATGGATAGATTAAGACAGATTTAAAAGCCTACAGGAATCAGGATTGCTGACTTTTGTCTAAAAATCAGCCAATGTTGGCCCAATTCAGATATGTTTCCTGAGAATGCATCAGTGTAAAAGCCAAAGGATACTAAATGGAAAAAATTAGCCAATGGCAAATACACATGAAATTGGTCCGATAATTTAGTGCTCTAAAATAAACCATGTTCTTCATTATATTTGCACACTTTTAGTGATTTTGGAGGCTAGCAACAGAGGTTTGCATTTAATAATAAGCAATCAACATGATCAAGAAATGAATTATAATAAAACAGACATTCCTTCCCTAGAGTTGCACTCCTGGTGCAGGCCCCACCAATCATAGCAGTGCTTACTTACTTACTTACTTACTTACTTCGCTTATATACCGCAATTCTCAGCCTAATCTTTTTTTTCTCATATGTCACAAAGCATCGATGGTGGGGCGAGCTTATCGTGGTGCGTTCCGACCGTCGTCGCTTCGTGCTGATTGGGTTTATCGTTGCTCTCTGTTGTGTCTTTGCGGCTTCCATATGGTAGTATGGTTGTGGCGCGGGTTCGGGGGCGAGGCGGGCTTAGTCGTAGACCTGCCTCCTCAACAGCGGTGCAGGCTGGGTCGTGGCTGGAATTAGCCGGGCTGTAGCCAACGGGCGGGAAAAGGGGATGCGCTCACGCGCGGGGGGCGAGGCGCGGCGGGCGGAGACGGCAACAGGGCCTGCCAGTGAGGGAGCTGCAAGGAGAGAGAGGAGTGGGGAACTGTAGTTACGCGGCAGAAGAAGGGAAAGGAGGGAAGGAAAGGGAGAGAGGGAGGAGGGGAGGGAAGATGGGAGAGAGGAAGAAGGGAGGGAGGGAAGGGAAGGGTGGACAAAAGAGGATCAAACCCATTGGATGACCCTGAGCAAGTCTACAATTTTAGCCTCAGAGAAAAACAATAGGAAACCTCCTCTGCTCAAATCTTGTGAAGAAAATCTTAGTGCTGTCATGCTGCATAAACAAGGCAAACAACAACAACAACAACAACAACAACAACAACAACGCAAAGAGAATGGGTTACGTAATGGAGACTAGAGAATGGCTCTTTACTTTAAGGAGATTTTTCATGGCTAACTGATGTTTTGCCAATCAAATGTGTTAGCTTGATGTAATTTTCCAAACTCATGGACCCTCAGTAGGGCTTTGGCAACCTTGACAAACTGTATTAGAGTGTATGTTCTTGTGACTTCTGTGCCCTTCTAAATCCCATTGTATGGTCCTTGGGATGCTAAAGATTCCCCATGACTGCTGTCAACTGATTCTACTGTATCATCACCACCATCTCTATCATTGTGATACTATGTTATTCACTATTATTAGGATTGCCCTATTTTGGTGCTCACCCAGAGAAAGAAAAAGTTGGGACCGGGGCGGGGGGGGGGGGGCAACACTGTTCTGGAGTCAAAATTATAGGCACCCCCATGATTCAGCAACAGGGCAGGGCAAAAATAAATCAACATAGCTAAATAAGAATCAGATTAAGTAAAATATTAGTTTGAACACTATGAAAAAGAAAGCTAAGTCTAGTAAATTACAAACCAGACTTAACAGCAACAGCAGTAGTACTAATAAATAAAATATAGAAAATTATAATCTGCATTGAGTCATCTAATTCAGTGCTTTCTACACCTTGCCATAACTGAAGGCAATTATATTTTTCACACTCCAACAGAGATGCCAAGGATTGGATATTGGCCACTTGCCTACACAATGACACTCTTGCATTGAATCCTCAAAGAAAATCTTTAAAAAGAAAGGAACTTCATGGTGATAGGGAAGTAACATCACTCCTAAATGCCTCTGCAGTTTGACCATGATGTTCTCATCAGATTTAAAAGCTCACTCCAGGAAATAGTGAAGGATGAGCCAGTTTTCAAAAAGCTAAGAAGGGCCCAATTAAAGCCCCATCATAAGGATGAATCCCTTCTGTTATTGAGTTAGAAGCTTTTATCAGAATGACTAGATACTCTGTGCTCTGCTTCTTCCTCTCTCACACACCCCCTTACATCTACCTCTACCTTCTCAGAAGCCTCAGTGACACAATGACAAAAAGAAACCAGTTTTAAAAACAAGCACAATACAAATCTCAAGAATTTTTGGAGACTTGCAAGGTTACATTAAACGGTATAGTCTTTCAAGATACTTGAGTCCAACAGAGGGAAGGAGACATCAGTGATCTAGAGCGACACAACACAGATGGAGCTGTCTAACATTCAACATGGCAGATGGGTTTCAGCTATATCTAGACAACATCTGAAAGAGCAAAATGTATCTCTAACACAAGGAACCACATGGTTGGTCTCCAATTAGCTGCACCATGGTTTGTGCTCTCTATTCGTATGCAATTGTTCAGCTCTTCTTCCAAAGGTATGCCAAGACTGCAACCACATTTAGCAAGAATTATGTTCTATGTTTTCTTAATTAATTCGCACACATACTGTACATGAAGGGACAATTTAATATTTACTATCAAATTATAGAGAAGAAAAAAGAGCAAAAGATTGCCATGAACAAAATATTTCACAACCCATTTTTAATCCTTTACAGTGCGTTTTAGGTATTTGCTGGGATTTGATTCTAGGACACCCCCACCCCCCGACATGAATACCAAAATCCATAGGTGCTCACGTTCCGTTATTACATTGGCACAGTAAAATGATGTTGTTGTTGTTTATTCATTCAGTTCCTTCTGATTCTTCGTGACCTCATGGATTGGCCCACGCGAGCTCCTGTCGGCCGTCACCATCCCCAGTTCCTTCAAGGTCAAGCCAGTCACTTTAAGGATACCATCCATTCATCTTGCCCTTGGTCGGCCCCTCTTCCTTTTTCCTTCCTTTTCCCACAGCATCATTATCTTCTCCAAGCTTTCCTGTCTTCTCATTATGTGGCTAAAGTACTTCATCTTTGCCTCTAATATCCTTCCCTCCAGTGAATAGTCGGGCATTATTTCATGGAGTATGAACTGGTTTGATCTTCTTCTGGTCCAAGGCACTCTCAGAATTTTCCTCCAACACCACAGTTCAAAAGCATCTATCTTCCTTCGCTCAGCCTTCCTAATGGTCCAGCTCTCGCATCCATAGGTTACTATGGGAAATACCACTGCTTTAACTATGCGGACCTTCATTGCCAGTGTGATGTCTCTACTCTTCACTATGTTATCAATAATAATAAGAATAATAACACTTTATTTGTACCCCGCTACCATCTCCCCAAGGGACACAGTGCGGCTTACATGAGGCCAAGCCCACAATACATCAATAAACAAAACATCAATAAAATAAAACATCAATAAACAATCAAAACAATATAAATCATAATCACATGAACAAAATAGACAATAAAAAATCAACAGTAACATATAAACAATTAAAACCAAAAGTCGGGCCAAAAGTGAAAGATTAAAATTAAAAAATAGTACTGATGTGAACCAGGTAGATATAATTGGGATAGGATTTTTAGAGAGAATGAGGGCGTGAAGTCAATCCTAAGGCAGTAGTAAAGTGCATTTTGAGGACATAATGCTGCGAGTTTTCCTTATCAAGATTGGTCCTTGCTCTCCTCCCAAAAAGTAAAAGTCTTCTGATTTCCAAGCTGTTGTCTGCGTCTGTAGTAATCTTCACCCCTAGAAATACAAAGTCTGTCACTGCCTCCATGTTTTCTTCCTGTATTTGCCAGTTATCAATCAGTCTGGTTGCCATAAACTTTGTTTATTAATGTTTCGTTGCAACCTAGCTTTTGCATTTTCTTCTTTCACCTTGGTTATAAGGCTCCTCAGCTCCTCCTCACTTTCAGCCATCAAAGTGGTATCATCTGCAAATCTAAGGTTAATGTTTCTTCCAGGAATTTTAACTTCAGCCTTGGATTCATCAAGCCCCGCATGCCACATGATGTGTTCTGTATAAAAGTTGAATAGGTAGGGTGCCGTACTCATTTCCCAATTTAAACCAGTCTGTTCTGTGGTCTGTTCTTACTGTTGCTACTTGATCATTGTACAAACTCCTCAGGGGACAGACAAGGTGACTTGGTATCACCATACCACCAAGAACTTGCCACAATTTATTGTGATCCACATAGTCAAAGGCTTTAGAATAGCCAATAAAACAGCAATAAATGTTTTTTTCCTGAAACTCCCTACCTTCCTCCATTATCCAGCAGATAAAATGATGACCTTTATATAAAATTAGAAAATCATGGTTTACTTTTTATATTATTAAAAAAATATTTTCAAACTGTGGATAGTGGAATCTGTGAATGCAGAATCCACAGATATGATTCAATCACTGAGATGAAGGAAAAATCTTGACATTAAATTATTGTATACATATGGAATTTAATTCATCCATTCTCTTTCTGCTCTACTGCTTTGTCTTCAATCACTTGTGATTTGGTAAGTGGTGAAGTACTCAGTTCATTACATTAATACCACAAATATACTACTTGCGTCAGTGATGGTACTTTTTGTGACCTGGTGCAACAAGCAAAGACATTTATTGGCTCCATTTAACTCATGACTGAAAAGGCTGCTCAAAAGCATGAAGCCCAAACAAAATTTACAACTGAGAAATATCAAGATACACACATTTCAAACCTCCGAATAATTCTCATTATGAATAATGATGGAATACGGAGACTTATTTCAAAACCACTAATTCCCCTTATTCCACAAATATATGGAATTAATGCATTTAAGCTCTTTCCTCTCTCTCAAATGTCAGATATACTTTAATAGACATAAAAGCCAAATGAAGTGGGACAATGCCATTAATGGACTGCTTATATAGCAAACACATCCCAAATTAGTAAATGCTAGTTGGGTGCTTGCAGACAGAAATATTTAGAAAGTACTGACAGCTTTCACAGAAATCTCTACCACTTCTGTCTTACATTTAACATTCAGAAGCAGCA